CTTCATACGTAACATTAAAGAAAGTAAATGTAGTTTAATGGCTATATTAATAGATTAGAGTTTGCAGTATGTAAATACTGAATATAAATGTAGTCTTGGACTGGAAATGGAACGCTTTCCACTTCAAGTTCAATATCAAAATCACGTTATTACCCAATAGTAAACTACCCAGACTTTGAAACAGGGACATTTACATTTCTACAGTGAAGTTTAAGGACTATGGGTAAATATGAAAGCTTATCACACACTAATAGCTGGAAATGACAAACCCTTTGGGTTAAGTCTCACAAAGAAAGTTGTGTGTCAATTAATTTAGAAGGTGGAATTTAAAGATTGCATTTTTTTCTGTGTGAAACAAAAAGTGCAAAAAAGATTTCCAAAGACATATTATATATGATTTTTCTTCTCTTCGGTTACAAAAATAAGTATACATGAAAATGCCCAAGAGTATTTGGAAACTAAAATCACGGAAATTACTTTAGACTTTATAGTATGAACAGCTATCTGATGATTAATACGAGTATACTCAAAGAACATAGATTCAAAAGAACTAAATCCAGATCTCTGCAATCACAGGCACAACTTCATATAATTTCTTCTTTAAATATCTTTAAAGTATGGCAATTGTATATAATAAATACATATCTCTCAGTTAAAAAAAAGTAGAAATTTACTGTACAAAGCGAGTATGTGGTTTTGCTAAACGATACCAAAAAGATCGCATTTGTTGTTTAATTTTTTTTTTTGGAAAAAAAAAAAAAGATCTGTAAGTAACATAACAGATTTTAAAGCTTTCATTTCCATCCTTCTTTCTGCTCATTGTTCTTCAAATTTCTTGCATCTTTACTTTTCCCTTTGTCTTGCACAGACCACCAGACTACACCCACAGTCACATTTGGGAAATTTTCCTGACATGTGGTTTCTGCAGTTTCCCTCTGCTTTTCATCACTGGTAGAAGGTTCTGTCCTTGTGTTTAGCTGGTTTCACAGACGATTTTTGAAAGTCTTTCTTTTACTTATTGCTGGATTGTTTATGTATTATTCCATCAGTTTATTTGGACTGTACTCCTTTGCAACATGTGGAAAGTATAAGCCTGTCAGAAGAGAAATTTAACAAGTAGGGTTATAATTACCTGGAAAGAAAGTATGTACAGGTAGTAAAATATAAAATGTACATATTGGTTCATTTAGATGGGATACAGATTATCTTATCTCTTCATGAAACATCTTTCAAGAGCATGAATAATAATACGCAGATATCTGAACCACGCAGAAAAGTAGAATCATTTTCATGTACAGCAGGGACTCTTTCAAATCTTAGACACTTTACTGTAGAGTTCACCTGTTGAACAGAAGCCTTTCTCATTTGTCGAGCCAATATTTAAGCATAAGGTAATGCACACTTCTGTAGTAAGTTTCAAGGAATTGAAGTAAACGTAAAATACCTAATTTTCTTTCCTTCTCCTGTGTCTGCTCATTTATCTATCTAGTCCTCTAATACGTATAGGTAAGAAATTTCTGTGTAGAAAGCTTTCTCTGTAACCATTATCTACAGCCTTTGATCAAATTTTAAAATTTCAAGACAGATGTGAAAACTGATATCGAGAAATATTGGTTTTATTCAGGTGATTGTCTGTAGATACATTTACATTGCGGTATGTACACACTAGCAATGATAAAGAAACTTTTATGCTAGCGTATCCGTGGGAAACAGGCTGTAACCCACCTCCCTTTACATGCAGCTCACATGGTAATAGAAGTGGCAGAGCACTGCCCTTCCTTCTCTATTTCTCTCAGCTGCTTTTCTGAGTCACAAACCTTTATTGTCCTTCTTCTGCATAAACATTTAGATCCTCTTTTAATTTCTGTGAGGACCCCTGCTACTTGTTCACTGTTTTTTTAGGACTTCAGCATGAAGTTTGCTCTTGGATACCACCCTTTTTCCACATGCTGTGGCTTCTGGTTTTGACCCTCACACTCTATGGCTTTAACCTCTCCCTTTCAGTCTCAAGAATTGCACTGCCTGTGGTGGAAAATATTTTGTTCCTGATGGGCCTACCCACTGCTTTTGCTTTCTGTGAGAAGGAAACATCACAGCTAAGGGTTCTGTTAGGCATTTGGACCCAGAACTAAAAAAGATGAACTGCAGCATCTTCTGGAATTTTTATTTACCAAGTCCATGAGCAATTTGATGGATTTGCTCAGCACAGCTAACACAATACAATTGGACCATACTCTGTTCATAAATCAGCCCCCAAAAAGAAATAAATGTAATCAAAACCATTCTTGGTCTCAGGGTCACTCCCTAGCCCTAGGAAGGTTCATATTATCCATGTTTGCACTTTCATGAAGTCCTAAGACCTTTTAGTCCAAAAGGGTTTCAGGAGAGTGTCTGGTAGTTTTTATTCAAAATTCTCCTATTGGCCAGTTGAAGGAAGCAAATGAAGAAATTCCACGTGCAGACCGTTGTTTCCATCTCTGCACATTTACCATCACTGAGGTGCACAGGCTAAAATTTCTTCTACAAAGTTACTGCTGACCACTTGGCCAGTCGCTTTTACTCTCTTTCCAGTGTAATAACAGTCTGACACCAGGCCATGCAATGCCACCTGCAGATGTACCACAACAATGTCACCAAGAATCTCCTCTGACCTATTTTCAGTTCCTATTTTCAGTACCCGTTTTGAAGGGTATGATTTGGACACTAATGGCATACTTTTAGTAAATAGTTCCATAAAAATTAGATGACCGTCAAAAAACACCTGAAGTTCTTGCCCGTAGTGGTTTCTGACCTGTATCTATTTCGTAATCAATGGTTCATTTGCTTTTCCTAAGTCCTATGTTTCTACAGAAATCCTTAAGTTAGCCATAATTAAGTCGTTTGCTAGTTTCTATGTTCATTGAACAAAGAACTTTAAGACAACTACTCATCTTTCCAGATCCACATCTGAAAGGTTGAAAATCTAACAAAAAATGTTGGGCTGGATTATGGGCCCATTCAAGTAGAAATGGTGATTTCTCCAGGTTACATTGCAATACTTCAGATCCTCAGGTTAGGCCCTTGAAGTTCCATCCACCCCTTTGCTAATTATTATGCTTACAATGAAGTTTCTGAAAATGCTGCTGCATTTTGCAGTGTTGTCTTTCAGGCTCTGTATAACTAGGCATCCTGAGAACCCCTTCTAGATGGGTGTTGGCAAGATGTTGCTTAGTTACCCACAGATTGAATAAACATGTGAAAAATCATTCAAATAAATAGATGGTTTTCTATTCTGGCATTGTTTCTGTCCACGAGGAAACTGAAAAGAGATTGTCTAAAATAATGTAATCTGACATGGTGGAGCATCTTACCAAACAGAGAGATATATTTCTTTTCAGGCATCTCAGTTCAACAGATTGCAATGAATCGTGGTGTACAGCATTGGTCAGTGACTATGTAACTTAATCAGTTAAGAATTTGTGCTTAAACAAAACTTAGATTTATACCGTGTGCTTTTAAGGGTACATGAAGTACTGTATGCTGCATGTCACTTTATCAGATACTGTCAGTTCCTCTTTGCTTGAGACAACCAAACGAATTCCATACCCGTTAGTTCAGTCTCACAGCACCAAAACTGCTGGTTTTCTCTGTTTTACACATTGGCACGTAAACGTGTGCTTGGTAATTTGAGTTGGCTAACAAACACAAGAGTGTGAGAACAGCCAGTGCGGTGTCAGACCAAAGGTTCACTGAGACAGTATTCCGTTTCTCATTGTAGCCTGCAAGGGATGCCTGAGGAAAGGTAGAACAACAGGGCAAACTTGTGGCCGTGGTTCCCCTCCCCAGAATGCTCTCCCACCTTCAAGAAATCTGTGTCTCAGGAACTTTCTAAATCAGAGAGAATACTTCTATATTGAATAACTCTTAATGGAATATCTCTATATTGAATAACTTTTTTTCCTGTGAATTTGTCTAGTTAATTTCTAACATGTAAACTTCTAATAGCCACTGCAGTCCTGCTCCAAGGACTTCAACATCTTAACTATGCTTTGTTTGAAAATAACTTTGTTTCATTCTGAACAGGCCACCTGCAAATTTCACCTGATGCTCTCAGGTCTTCTAGAAGAGATATCCCTGTGTGCCCTTCCCGTTCTACTCAAGATTCTATACACCTCTATCATACCGCTCCTCATTTTTCTCTTTTATTGCCTTGAGTGTCCTAGTTGGTTAGTCATTCCTTCTATAGAGCAGTTCCCTACCTTTGGTTATTCTTTTCATCTTTCTCTAAACCTTTTCTAATTTTACTATAACTTTTTCAAGACAGAAAAGATGGACCAGATCTGCATACTGTATTCAAGATCAAGGCACACAGTTTAGTTTTCTATTTCTTTTCTAAGAGCATACTTGGACATTTTTCCAGAGTTGTGTTTGTGTCCTTTAGCCACACTTTACATTGATTGTTCATACTCTGAGGTGCACCATGGTTCTCCCACAGTTGCTGTCAGAACTTCTGTAACTCCCCTCTTAAGTATTCCTGAATCCTCATTTGCATTGATACAAGAAAATAATATTACCACTCCTTTGTCTTAGCTGTCAGACTTAATGTAGGAAATAGAAAACACTATGAGAGCCTAAACAGGGGTGTCTATTGCTGTTTTAGATGCCCTAAGGTATGTGAGGCACCCACCTGGCAAATACGATACAGCAGATAAAGGAGACTTGCACCCTTCTGGAGTGACAGCTTGAGGCCATAAAGAATACCCTGTGGTATCTAAAATGACACTAGATACCTTTATTTAGGCATTGAATTTCTGCCTAGATGGTGGTATGTAAAACAGTCTAACTCTCATATGTCAATCAAGAGAGCTCTGAGTTCCAAATTAGCCTTATTTCTTGGTGAAGGCAACACAGCAATAGCTGCAGTTTTGAATAATTATGTCATGCCAATCTCTTTTTTTAACATTTGCATATAAATACTGATTGAATATTTAAAAATAATGTTTCTTTTGATTCTCATTTAGGATGCTGGGGAAATGGTTCGATCCTTTGTTGGTGGCTTGGAACTGATAGTCAATTTGCTAAAATCAAAGAATAAAGAAGTTTTAGCAAGTGTATGTGCAGCAATTACAAATATAGCTAAAGATGAAGAAAATTTAGCTGTTATAACAGATCATGGAGTTGTCCCTCTGTTGTCCAAACTAGCAAACACAGTAAGTAACTTCTAAACATATTATACTAAGTATCTGAGTTTCTTATGTCACACTCCATTATACCCAATTAAAGGTTATGACAAGAGTGGTAGATTTTGCAGCAGCTACAAGGAAGAATTGTAGAATCCTTCCTCTATGAGATGTATATTGGACATGAAAACACTCTGTGGCTGGTACTGAAATTGCTTTGGAAGATGAGCTTCATTTTAATAGTTACTGTTGCTGAATATTGCTTTTGAGATGCAGCTGCCATATGAAAAAAGCACAAAGGATCGAGAGAGCAATAGATCTGAACCATGCAGAGAATCTCAATGATGGGACTATATGTTACATTTTAATGCTAATCTTATCTAATTTCCAGTCAGTCTAAAAGCACCTTTGAAATAATATAAAAATTCACAGCACTTCCTACAAAGCAAATAGGGACTACTAGCTCCATGCCTTACAGCTCTCTCCAGTTTTTAATTGTACTGCACTTATATTGGGGTGCCTTAAAGATGTTTGAGAATACAATTCTGCTTTCCTATGAAATTTTTATTGTATTATCTTGTCTTTAATTTATTATGTTTTTACCTTCTGCAGAAGAATGACAAATTAAGACGTCACTTAGCAGAGGCCATTTCCCACTGTTGCCTGTGGGGGAGCAATAGAGTAACCTTTGGAGAGACCAAGGCTGTAGCTCCTTTAGTACGTTACTTGAAGTCAAATGATCCATCAGTTCATAGAGCTACAGCTCAGGCTTTATATCAGCTTTCAGAGGATCCCAACAACTGTATCACTATGCATGAAAATGGAGTGGTGAAGGTGAGGTAGAAGGTTTTTCTTATTTGGAGTTCAAATTATTGAAGGGTTTGGCATGGTCAAAAGAAGAGATCTTTAATTTGAAATAGTTCTTGAATACTGCTGTATACCTCAAATTTTCTGAACTTTATCCTAAAAATGTTTGGTTAAGTAGTGAATTAGGGAACAGTATTTCAGTCCTAAAGATATTACAGCTAGGTGGTTGTTAGGAATGGAAATATGATGTGGACATTCACCTCTAGAGTACTTGACTTGACTCTGACTTAGGCTGGTAGTGGCATCTCATCAGCATTTTGTCATTCTCAAGTGACTTTTGGAAAAGAAGTTGGGTTATCTTAATGGATAGTTGCCTAGTATGGCAGAAAGTCACATAGGAACTGAGTGTAACTGGATTTGGGAACAAATTAAGATAGAATGATACAAAGGCTTAGTTTACATGGAGCTGTTTCAGTGAATTCTGTATTTACTTATAAAAATTGTTATTTTAGGAGTTAAATATGAGTGTGTCTGTGAAGACCTTACTCTAGAAAGAGTTTTTCTCTCAAAAAGATTTTTCTAGCAAAGTTTTATCTCACTAGTTGAAGCCAGTAGAGTTAGTCCTTTGGCACAGGAGAGGTAAGGATTATGGCCTTAAAGATGGAGATTGTAGGAGCTCTCAATTTTCATAAATTTCCTGAAAGATTCCCTATTTGCAGACTTTTTACTTCATGTTCAGGTAAATGTATTGAAAGTAAGAGTTGACTTATGATGCAGTGTTATTATTAATGTTGAATTCATGCCTGCAGTAATGATTGTGCACTTTACTGTCAGCAATTTCAATTCTGGCACAGTCTAATGGTCCTGCATCATAATACACGTATCTGTAGTTGGCTATGTCTGTAGTTGAATTAAAAAGATGCACTGGTCAAAAATGTTTAAAGGCTCAGTTTAAATGCCAGTACTTGAACTGACTGAGATCTAAGCTGCCCTTTCAGTGCTGGAAAGTAACATCTTCCCATCACAATTGCATTATACTGGCTATGCAGAACAGGGGAATATATACTGTACTACAGCTCAATTTGAAACTAGTGTGTGATGGATGACTTTTTAATGTTGCTTATCTTTCAATTCAACTGACACAACCCATTTTCTTCCCTCCTGTCATCTGTTGTTTTCATTCATTTTATTATGCAGGTTTTAGGTTTTATAAGTTGTAGCACACTGAACATACTGTATAAAACCGATTCCAATGATATACTTTTGTAATAATTCCATCTCGGTCTAGGTTCATCTTTTTTTTTTCAGTCCTAGTTAAAATATTTAGACTAATTAAAAACATTTATTTGCACTTGCAGATAGATAGGGATGTACAGAAAAATGGCACAGGTGTTTAATTTCTTTATTATTCACAATATTCTGGAATGACTATAATATGTTAAGGGAGAAAAAAGGCAACTGTTAAAAGGAAGAATGAAACTACAAAATAAAGGAACTTGAGTTATGCTTGTTGCATCTAACTTTTTGTCCAGGGTGCACTTCTCTTCTGGTGTACAAGAAACTTGGTTTTTTGTAATGCAGTGGATGAGTGTTTGAATATGGGTTTGTATGTGGGTCCATCACAGAACCAAAGTGGAAGTGCCTCTCATCTCATAACTGATAGGTGGCCTGGACATATGAGAGGCTGTATGACCAATTCTCATCACGTGTGCCAGCACACGCCTGTATTTGTATCATATAAGCAGATGTGCATTAGTAATATGACAGAAAGCAGCTGCATTTGGTCCCTGTTGAGACTAACAGCCAGTGTAGCAGTTCTGCTGAAAGTGACCTGGAGAGTAGGTTCAGCAAGCTGAATGCGAGTCAATAAGGTGCCCTGGGAGTGATGAAGGCTAACAGGATCCTGGGCTGTCTTAACAGGAGCATAGCCAGTAGGTCAGGGGTGGTGACTTAGCACTTATTAAGTCACATCAGGAGGACTGTGTTCAGTTTGGGCTCTAAGTCCAGTGGAGGGCCACAGAGATGGTTGGGGAGAGAAGCACATGACTTGTGAGGGAACTGAGCTTGTCTAGCTTTGAGAAAGAAGGCCTTTGGGCAGCGGTGCCTAATAGCAGCCTGCCAGTATCTAAGAGAAATTTATTGAGGTGACAAAGGCAGGCCCTTTACTGAAGTGCATGGTAGGAGGACAAGAGACAATGGTCATAAATTGAATCTGATAGGTTCCATCTGGATATAAGGAAAAAATTCTACCGTGAGGGTAATGAAGCACTGAAACAGTTCCCCAGAGAGGCTGTGGAATCTCCACCCAAGGGAATTTAGACCTGGCTTGACAAAGCCATCAGCAACCTGGTCCAAACTCAGTGTTGACCCTGCTTTGTCTAGGAGGCTGGACTAGATGACCTCCTGAGATACCTTCCGACCCAAATGATTCTGTGATTCAGATAATCTGATTTCTATCAGATGGAAACTAATGAAAATAAGAGGAAGTATGGAAAATAATGATTCATCTTTGCAAACCACTTCTTCACTATCTTTTGGTAATTAAGCAGTATTCTCCAGCGTCTCAATGGACTTTATTGAGCCATAACCATGGCATATTCAGTTAGGGAAAACAGCTATAGTTGTGATGATGACCTTTCCCATTCAGTATCCAGAAACATTCACCCTGTCTCGTATGGCAGAAACCTTCTTCACTATACTTAGTCAGATGGGTATCTCAAAAGAAATACTGTCAGAGGAACAGATTTAATCACTCTGTTGTTTAGGTACTTAGGGAGATGTGTAAGATAAATTGTCTGAATTCCACTCTGTATCACTCAGAAATGAAATACTCATTCCATGAACAGAAGATTCATTTGAATTTTAGGTCAGGGCTACAAATGTATGTGACTAAGAGATGCAGTGCTGTCCTTCAATACCTTGAAGTATTTCAACATTCCATTAGGTTTGACTAAGTCTCCTCTGTAGTTCACAAAATCTCAGCTTTTTTGGGGGAAAGCAGTCTGACTGCAAAGAAAACTTGTTCTGTAATGAATCTTTAAAGTGCAGCCATACCTGATCAAGAATTAAGAGGTTAAAAAGTGTTAAGATAAAAAGACCTGTGACCGCGCACTGCCATGAAGGACCTGGAATAATTCTTCATACCTGCTAAGTATCACAATATGCAAAAGTCTCGGGAAGGATTTTTGGAAGTGACTCAGAATATCAGTGAAATCACCTCTAACCTTAAAAGGCTGCGCTGTTGATTCATGCCATAAGCTGTTCAGTTTGGTAGACTGGAATCTCTTCATAGCCAGGAGGTGATTGTGAACCAAATACGTAGCCAGGAAAGGAAACATTATGATTCCTTACTGCTCATTTTTCTTACTGGCAGTAAAAAATAAAATATCCTTGGAAGACACTAATTTACCTGAAGGAGTAGTTCTTGCTAGTCCCCCAGAAAGGAAAAATAACTGAAGTTTGGTGAAATGTGTTTTCAGATAAACTAAATCAAACTAGTCAGATGGTTGATGTCATCTATACCAAAGACTGTCAGCCAATGCATAGTCAAGTGTACCGAATAAGTGTAAATCTTCAAGAAGAGATCTGTCCAGCTCTTAGAGTAAACTGTCTGCTGTTCGGTGTCCTACTGAAGTCCGTGTGTATAGCATAGAATCTGAAGTCCTAGGGTCACCCAGCAAATGCGTAACAATGAGGTGTAACAATTTACAATTGTAAATTGAGCCTTGAAAACAAGTTTGATACTTTTAAAATTAGAAGATATTAATTATTTTAAGAAATCCGTCCAGCTGAAGAAATTCTTTAAACACATCGCATAATTAGTGCTAAGAGCTACAAATAAATAGGTAAGCTACATGGAATTATCTTATTCAACACCTGCACATATTTCATTTTTCTGTGTGTTTGTTTTCAATTACATTCAAGTGAACATTCATGGAGGTGCTTAATTACAAATGCTGCAGACATTTAATCTGGAGAATATGAAAGTAATTATATCTAAAAAAAATAAAAACATTCTTCACAAATAATATTTCTGTATTTTTAATTATCCAGATATTTTAGAATACCATTTTTTTTTAACATAAGTATAAATGGAGCTGTTATTAAAGCTTTGTTCCTTTAAGTCTTTAAGAAATCCTTAACACAAGGCAAATTGATAAAATAGGTAAGTCTAAACAGCAGGACCCTGCAGCAGTTCCCAGCTCTTATGTCCAAGTGCATAGCCTGGCCACATACTGATTGCACATTAGGACTACCTGAAAGGAGGTTGTGCCGAGGTGGGGATCGGTCTCCTCTCCCAAGTAACAAGCGATAAAATGAAAGAAAATGGCCTCAGGCTGCATCAGGGCACGTTTAGGTTGGATAATAGGAAAAATTTCTTCACTGAAAGGGTAGTCAGGCACTGGAACAGGCTGCCCACGGAAGTGGTTGAGTCCCCATCCCTGGAGGTATTTAAAAGACAGGTAGATGTGGTGCTTAGGGACATGGTTTAGTGGTGGACTTGGCAGTGCTAGGTTTATGGTTGGACTTGAGGATCCTAAAGGTCTTTTCCAAGCTAAACAATTTTAGAATTTTATGACTAAACCTGGATACATACATTCTGGTCTGTGTCAAAAAAAAAATGCACGTGCAGAACTGGAACCGCAGTATGTACGAACAGTTGGGAATCAGGATTGCAGGGCATATTGCAAAATGCATTTACCTTTCAACTAGGATATAGCCAGAGAGAATCCAATACCAGTGTATGTGTTGAAGTTAACATGGCTCAGAGATCCGTATTAATAAACTGTGAAAAACCTGTTCTGCCTAGGTCATAAAGTGACAAAAGTGCAGTGAGAGGTCATCAGAGCTAGCTCTCTGGAGCTATCTTGTGCTTTCTTACCTGTCTAGCTTTGGTACCACAGAGCTCAGTGTCAGATGATTTGCCTTTTTTCTAGTACTATGACTGCAGTATAGGTATATCCATTTTAAAAGAGTGTGTAGTTTGCTTTTGCCACTATTTTTCAGGGAATGGAATTCTCCCACCC